AGACTGTTAGTCATGAATAAATCCAACAGAATGTGGATCAACAGCAGTTGTATAAAAGTTGAGGATAATTATTTTTATTAATTTGTTCATCATTTACACCCCATAGCTGAACAGGAAAACACTCACAATGTTTTGCCTGTGGCTGTGTGTGTGTGTGGGCGTGTATGTGCTTAGTGGAAAGTGTTAAATACGTGAGAACTACTGGTTATAATTTAACTAAACCTTAAGTAAGCAATCATTGGATGTTTGTCTACAACCGATTAACTGTTGGAGTCAACTCAATTCAGGGTTGCTGAAACTGCAAATTAACATTAGAAAATGTAAAAGTGGCTATAAATGAATGAATTGTTTAGATATGACATCAATGTTTTGATAGTGGATGGCACAGAGAGGCATTCACAACTAGGGGTGGGCAGTACAATATTTATCACAATATAGGGGAGACGATACAAAATATGTTATAAACCAGGGGGAGATGATACAATGTGTGTGTGTGTGTGTGTGTGTATATATATATATATATATATATATATATATATATATATATATATATATATATATATATATATATATACATATATATATATATATATATATATACATATATGTATATATATATATATATATATATATATATATATATATATACATATATATATATATATATGTGTATATATATATATGTATATATATACATATACATATATATATATATATATATATATATATATATGTATATATATATATATATATATATATATATATATATATATATATATATATATATATATATATGTGTGTGTGTGTGTGTGTGTGTGTGTGTGTGTGTGTGTGTGTGTGTGTGTGTGTGTGTGTGTGTGTGTGTGTGTGTGTGTAGGTATATATATGTATCTATATATATAGATATATAGATACGATGCAGGGCTGGGCGATACAGCCTAAAAATAAAGTCTCTGATCACATTTTTTTTAATTTGATTTACGATCATTTTTTCTGATTCTCTCTCGCGCTTATTAAGAATAGCAATAAGTACAAATGGAAGGCACCTTAAAGCCAATTTTGTTTTTTATTTGATCACAAGCAAGACAAATGTAACCCTCATTTCTGAGATGAAAAATGAATAAATGAACACTCTTGGAATAAAAGTGCCACGCTCCACGTCCGTCGCAGAAAACCCAGACCAGTTCCAAACAACGGATGATTTCACTCCTTTCTTTGGAACAAACTTCCCACTCTCACCGGTGGCCATGGAGTGGCTTGCTGTTGCTGTTTTGTGTGCGTGCTGTGGCGTTATTGTCGCGGTTATGTGAAACTAACGCTGCGGAAGCTCCGGGGGGCCAAAAAGGCGCTATTACATAAAAATTCTATTTACTTTTTTTTTTTAATCGCCCGCAACAAAACATTTGAATTAATTAATTAAATCGATTTATCGTCCAGGTCTAATACAATGTATATCATAAACAGGGGAGACGATACAATATTTGGCCGGATCGTCGTCGTAAATGAAAATGAGTTCTCAATTGACTCATCTGGTTACACAAAGGTTAGATAAATGTTAAATAAATAAATATCATAATACAGGGGAGATAATATGATATATATCCCAATACAGGGAAGACCATAATGGTATATTGCGGTGCTAAAAGCCAGGCAATTTTTGCAATTGTTAAGTCTGAGTTTAATTAGAAAACTGAGGCCAGATGCTTCCAAAACACTTCTATTGTCATTACAAGACCTTGTTCTTTAATCAGAATGAATGTGCTAAAAGCTGCTGCCACCAGCCAGGAGTTTGAATTAAACTGCACAGAAGAAGAAAGTGTTTGCATGTAAATTCTCAATAAAAATTGATACGCTGCTTTTAAATATTGATCAAGTGCAACATGAAATATTGTGATAGTTCAGTGTATAAATGTTTTCTTACATTACTATTTGCAACAAAGGCTGAGTGCCAACAGATTGTGTGAGATTTTCTCAAATTGCATGAGAATGTGTGTTTTCACAGTCACTACGACCAAAATGACTACAACCCTATCATTTCTCAGCACAAGGTCTTTGTGGGGCAATCTGTAATCCTTTTAAGAAACACAGATTGCCGGAATTTGTTTCAATCCTTAGTCCAAATAAAAAACAAAAGGGAGAACGTCCCAATTTAGGAATTTTGAAATGCCTTATTAAAACCCTTTCTCACCATTTGGTCCTGAAGTTTTTGCACTGTGTGAACCGAGTATCTTCTTTGATCTCGACAAGCTGTTTGGACTTCAGTCCAAAAGATTGTGTTGATATAGACAAAATAATCACTGCTTGGAGTACAGCATCAGCATTTTTGTCATTGGGCAGGCAAACCAGGTTGACGCAACAACGTTATTGTAATTCTTTCTCAATAACTGACTTGGGCTGGCCGTTTCTCAGAAACAGCTTTACACAGGAACACAACTCATTTCTTAATTCTCTGGTATTTGCATATTTCTCCACCAAATATCATGGCTTATGCAAACCACAAGCCATTAATCATCATCTTGCTCCAACTTGCAGGATTTATTGAGTAAGCTTGTAAAGTAAAAACAGAATAAAAAAACATGAAGCGTATAGTTACGTGGTAATGTTATTGCAGCTAGTCTTTAAAGTTGACGCTCATAGCATTGACTTGATTTAATTTCTGGATTGTGTTGACAGCTGCTGAATTAGTGTCACCTGTTGTATTTTAAAAGCCCCCAAACAGGATCTGTTGACACTCACAAATAGCCGCGTCTTTCACCGGGTTAATATAAAGGCTGCAACTGTTTTTATGCTTGCTGTTGCTGTTTGCATCATCACAACAATCAATCAGTCCACTAGTCCTCCTTTAAATGAACTCTTCTAGAAGTTTTTGAATTTCTTTGTGTTGCAAACAGATTGCATCAAAGTACAGTGGATAATTCTGCAGAGAAACGGAGCAGTGTGGAGCTTCTGGCTGCAGGCTGAATGCTATTTACTGTTGTTCTGCATTATTCAAATGGCCTGCTTTTCTGAAGGCAGAAACAGCAGTCAGTTTTTCATTGCACGGCAAGCTGGTTACAACCACCCGCCACCACTTGACAGCTGAAGACAGCTCATTATAAGACGACCAAAAACCTGTGTTTGATGTTTTTACTTAGTGAGGGAGGCACGGCTATATCAAGCTATCCCTCGCAGGCTTTTCCTTTATAAGGAAATGCTGTCTCCAACTGGTTGGGATTTGATATGCCTGTAGTTGCAGATGATGTTAGAACTGAATATGAGTAATTGTATGGACAGAAAATGAAACCCATAGAAGTCAGATGTTTGCATGTGGTTTCAAAATAGCAGAAACATGGTGAAGTAATCCAACCAAACAAAACAAGATGCTGGGAAAAAAGAATAGCTTTTAGATTAAAAAAAGGAGAGTTCTTGTGGATTATATAAGACTGTTTAATTGCAGCTTTATTGTGCACACCCTCTACTTACTCACATAAATATAACTTAATGAGTGTTATTTTAATGTCAGCGAGCTCTTTGAGGGGGAAAACGTTCAGCCAGAGTGATGCCTGTTAAATTGGAGATAACTAAGGTAAACATCAGAAACCTGCTTGGTGCATTTCGGGGTAGACATCTGTCCTCCAGATTTCTCTGTTTGTGTAATAGCCGTCTTACAGCAAACCGCTCCATTCTGTTGGTAACAAGCACTTCAGCCATTATTAGCCCTTCAAATGGAAACACATTTAAGCGTACCTGCTTCCTTCCCACTCCACTGGTCTTGGAAGTTCTTGGAGCTATTAAAAGAAGCTGATTCAACCTTCTAAAAAAACAAAGTAAACCACAGCGATAATCTTGTACCCAAGCAAACAGATTGAAGTGCTGAATATAAAGTGTCAGCCATAGATTTAGATTTACAGTTCATGTGCATCGAAGAGTTTTTGCTCTGACTTTTGATTTATTTTTTAGCTGTTTATTCGTTAAACCCTCACTGCAACAGATTCTCTTTTCATCCATTCCTTCACACTTTGAAGGTGCAATCAAAGTGGCTAAGTGTGACTTGAAAAGCATAAAATCTCAACCTTCACGGTGAATTTGGAGAGCTCCGACTTCCTAAATGCTAATCAAAAGGCCTAAAACACTGACGTCCTCGTTGACATTGATTTAACTCCTGACATAAATTCAATTCGGCAATCATCCCAATCATCCATATTCATGGCGCCGTAATTTACTTACATTAGTGTGCATCCACAGCCAGCAGTGGTGCTACTTGATGCACATACTGATTATGTTTGATAAAATAAAATTTAAAAAATGGCCGCCTGTTTGTCGTGTTTCATTTACTGATGATGTCCTGATTTTCAACCTGTTTTTACTCAACTTTTGACCCCAATTTTCCACTTCCTAATCACAGGGACGGACCGTAACTGAATGTAGTTATAATGTGTTGCACAGCTTTTCTAATAATCTAGTGTTTAAAATTGCCCAGGCATTAAGTTTTAATAGAAATCTTCTTATATGCCCTATTTAATAGTAAAATACACAATTATATCCATTTTCTTGTAATAGTTTACCAGCTGGTGTAAGGATGAAATAAGTTTTTATACATTTATTTTATGAATATTTAAAAACCAGGACCGTTTATTTGTATGGAAGCGTGTTCTAATTGTGTATTTAAATTTTAATAAGGGTTCGGCATAATATGAAAACAACAAAAGCGTTTTATTAGAAAAAAAAATGCAGCAAGTTTTGCTGTTTACCGTAACGCTTTGCATTGACAAAAACCTCCTTACTGTTTCTGTTGTTTATTAACATTTTAGTTGTTTGTTTGCACTTTTTTTTTACTCCCTATAGCTAATTTGGTTACTATGTTTGGACCACATTTGTCATAAGAACTGGAGATGTGTTGTCAGAAAACACAACAAACTAGTTAAAAACAAAAAATGGGTCAGTTTAAATAACTTATGAGCAACAGAACGAGTTTATTCATATAAAAACTCATGTTCTGATTCTTCTCTGCGACTTTTCAGCACGAGGTAATTGCCTTGTCTGAGAAGGTGATCGTGCGGCTAGAGGACCTGATGAAGTGGACGGTCCCAGACCTCTCAGGATGGACCAACGGCATGAAGGTCGAGCCTCTCAAGCCTGCTGTGCTGCGGGAGTTGGGGACCAACGGGAGGCGCGAGGCCCTCCATCGCTACAGGGAGAGCAACCTGACCAGTGGTCTCAACTTCAAGGATGTCCAGAGGGAGCGGGCCAAACTTGGTGAGTTTTCCTGCTTTATTTCCTTCTTCTCCCTCTTGTTTCTGTATTTATATTCTGTTCTCACTCTAAATCACTCAGTGTATTGCTCTTTGTTTGGTTTAACAAGTGTTTTCTTGCGTAATTCATCAGTTAGTAGCTTTGGCTCCTGCTGTAACTATAAATAGGCAGGTTTGAGGTAATGGCTCTCTGTTTGCCAACACAGAATAGCAGCACAGCTCTGTTTTTCTGTTCTGAACGCAACAACAAAGAAGCCTCTGCAAAAATCACATAATTCAGCTTGGAACGTCTGGAAAATAATCAAGTCACATCAGAGTACAGTTTAAAGCACCTCTGATGCCGTCTTATCCATCAGTTCAGGTCATAATCGCCTGTGCAGCTCAGCAGCTTTTAGGATCATCGCTATTTGCGTTTGAATGGTTGTCTGGCGTATTCATCATGCACTCTGTGCCATTAAGTGCCACTGAATGCTTCATTCTTGAAGCGGGCTCTCGGGTGCTCACTACAGCTTCACCCATGAATCAGTCTCAGCATAAAGCCAAATGTCTCTGCGGATGACTCATCCAATGCAAATAGGAAACTCTGGCATTTAGGACTAATAATCAGACAGAACATTATGTTCTCTTTGAAGCTGTTTGCCTCTCTTTCGCATGGCTGTGATGTTAGTGCCTTACATTCATTGAGATGGTGTAATATAGCTTATCAAATGGGCTAAAAATACCTCCATAATTATACCAGTTCTTGTTGGTAAAAGCGTGTACCCTGGAGATTCGGAGCTTTAGCTTCATGATCTTCTAAAAATTAATTTTTAATGACAGTCTTGTTGCTGAAGCCTACGCGGAAGCCAATCTGCTACAGGCTTTAAAAACAAAATTCGAGTTATTCTGTAGAAAGCCTTGATTTATTGATGAGTCGTGGAGCATTTTCAGCTAAGCAAAGAGAAGCAGCTGTGTGTTTCTCTGTGATGCCCTTGATTACTCAACGTTGCACAGATCTCATACGCAAAAAGGACATGAAGATCAATAGTGAATGCTTTGTTGTTATTCCAGTGATCAATACTGCATGAATGTGTGTGTATGATCGCTTGCTTGCATAAATAGATTTGTCAGGCTGCTTTTTTAGAGGTATTGTGTTCCATATCTTGGCTTTCTATAAATGTGCATCGTCGCCTAGGTTTTATGGATTTCACCATTGTCGGTGCAATAACGTAAGTATGATGCTATTGTTACTGAGGGGCTTTGTGTGTGTGTATGTGTGTGCGTGAGTGAGTGTGAATGTTGTAGTGTGTGTCTGTGTTGCTAATGAGCAGCGCGGCCGCTAATGACTCCATCAGGCTGTTTCTAAATGCACTTGTCACTCCGATGGGACACTCCGCCAGAGAATCTGCCCACTCAGCAGAACGGGCTTAGATTCTGGCAGGGCACTAGAGACACACACACACACAAGCATGCATGCACGCAGACACACACACACACACAGATGCACACACACACAATCACTGGTGTGCATATTCATATGTCTGTTTGTTCGCCGTGCCTTTGGTGTGTGTCAGTTGTTGACAGTCTGACAACACAAGGAGGGTGTAGAGACTTATTCACTTATTCATCAAGGCAAATGAACATTACTGTGCACGAGGTTTTGCATAGAAATATGAAATATGTCACTGCAATGCTGCTGACTGCTGACATGAAATATTCATACTGCAGCAGCAGCAGATCAGATAGAAAAGTAGCCTTAAAGCATCTTGTCGCTGAATGCCTAATTCCTTGTAATACGACGGCTCCTTCACTAAACTGATTATTTCATGATAGATCAGCGTATTTATTTATTTCATCATTTTTAAATTATTTTAGCCTGAAGTGGCTTTATTGCGTGAATGATGCATTGGCTGATTGTTATTCTCAGGCTGATGTAAGAATTGGATTGTTCCTCATAACAGGATACTGCAGCAAAACCACAATCTGCACAAAAACCCCATTGTGAGCTAAAGAGTAATAAAGTGTGCCATTGTTATGGAGGGAAACAATTTTTTCCTGCTGTGTATCCCAAGTTTTCCTGGCATGCTGCCAGTGTGAATGAAATGCCTTCTGATGTATTTGTCTCTCACAGGCAACATGTGAAATTCGAAAGCCAAACGTGTCTCAGGGAGAACACTGACTTTATCTTTCTTGATGTGCAGTACATGAAGGATAATGGTTTAGCAAATGAACAAAAGCGCTACTGTGTTTTGTCTTTTTAGAAATGCATGGATGCCTAAAATAATTAATTGGACTGACTTTCACTGCAGTCCTGCACCACTCACAGCTCCCCAAGTCCTTTGTAGCAGGGAAATGGTCATAATTCAAACAGCAGCTCTGCTTGTGTGACTGGTTTAGGGGCCTACCTGAGAAAACAGGGTTATTTATGGGGAGGGGGGGTAATTTGGCAGAAATAACATTTAATTTTTGCTTTGTTTTTTTTAAGTGAAATCAATATTTTAAGATAATTTACATTTCATTTTCAATTATGTTTTACTGTCTCTTGCACGTTGCTGATAAATTTAACTGCACAATTTCTCTATGCCAAACAACCCTAAAATATTAAAGGCACATTATGGAAGTTCGACAGCCAAAACATGTATAGAAATAATAAATGTCTTCTTCATACATTCTCCTGCAATGCCCTGGTCCTGTAGAATGAGCCCTGGCATTTTTACTGTGATTGCCTGTTTTTCTGTAAAATCACAGAAAAAGAGCTGCTCGGGTCGAGCAGGCTGCTTCATGTGCGTTCACGCTCAGGCATAGCTCGTAGCGTTTGCTATCCATAGCTTTAGCAGCAGAGAGAGAGGCAGTGCCGCCTAGTGACAAAGCTAGCTACATTTCTGAGGACCCTTAGCTACTTTCTGTAGAACTTTCTTCTAGATATTTCCTGCAAATTAGCAACAAAATAGCCATTTTCGCTCCGAGCCGTTCTTTGAACGTTGTTTCAGCTGTCATCAAGGATATAAACGTTACAGATACAAAGGACATCACTGGCGCTTTAGTTCACCTAGTAAGACATTGGACTCCCATGTAGAACTCCTGGGTTTGATTCCAGATGTGAACATAGTTTATTTAGAGATGCTTTTTTACATTAATGGTATATTATTTTTACATTAAGATGCCCAAATTTTTATTTGAGACTTGCCGAATGGCATTGAATTCACAGATAAAAAAGATGTGGGTTCAACTTTCATTTTGGAACAATTTTTCAAGCAAGGGAAGGGAATGATCTGAGCATGCAGGAGGACTGACCCATCATAAACCTTTGTCGGCTGTGCTGAAGAGAAAGGTACAGAACCAAATTATTTAATTTATTAGCTGCGCGTTCTGCTGTCCTCTGTCCTCTGGGCCACACACACACACACGGGACTGTCTCAGCAGTTATTTTCGTTAAGGAGTGTGCACGTACAGCATGCGCGCCTCGTGCACGAGCCTACTATAGAAGCTGCCGTTACGCTTTTGGCCTGAGGGGGCAATCGCGAGCATAAAAATTCAAAACTCCGTAAAGTCCCTTTAAAACAATAACACAGATCATTTAAAACCAGTTTTGCAATGGAGCATTTTTGCAGCAGCACAAATAAATAATGCAGCATTAATATCAACAGCAAACTATACAGTGTTAGTTCAATTAACAGCAGCAGATTTACCAACATAACATTAGCTACCCTGTGCTAACAGGTGCTAGTAAACCTATTGGCACCACTTGCATTTAATATATATAAGCATGGTTTTTCCTGGCTCAACTTGAGGCAAAGGTGGTACCATCCTGACCATGCGCCAGCACATGCATACTCTGTGCATATAACTGCTTCACTTTTTTAAAGGCCAAATATTTTTTTGTTAAGTGTTCTAATCTAAGCTTGTGTTTAATTGAATATTCCATTTGACAACATTTCAAGTGAAACAAAACTGGTTTGCTGCTAAAAAAATATGAAATAAAACAACAAAGTTGTCAGGCTGAAACAACAGACTCATTATAAAACGCTCAATAATATGCACTAGACTGGTGTTTAGTTCCCTTTTTCCCATCTGATATTTATAGTTAAAATATTTTTTATATTTGACCCACATTTCAGTAACATTTTAGGTTTGTATTAATAACACTCATCTTAGTCAACATGACACATAAATACCGGTATATCCAGTAAAACATAATGCATTTCATTAACATGCATTTGTATTGGAAATGGTAATATTTCATTTCTGCTCCTAACAATGTAATGGTGGAATGTCTATTCTGTACGGGTTGGCAATAATCCAGTTCAAATTATGTTCAAAGATAGGAGCGTTTGTGAATTATATACTACAACGGCTTGCCTTACTTCTTGCACCAGCAGTAAAGTGACTCGAATCTGCAGCGGTTCTGATCCATAGCGCTGCAGGATGCAGAATAAACAGGATGGTGGGGACTTTTCATCCGCTTGTAGAGTTTAGTGTTTCTTAGTTTTACGATCATCGTGTATTTTTCTGTGCGCCACTTGATCGTGAGACTGCTACCCGTTAGCTTTAGCCAATCTGCGTGTAGCTGCACTTTTGAAACCCAAACTTTGGACCAGTTCTACCTTTGTTGGTTCCTTTATTTTCCTTCACTGCATCCAGATGACCACACTGTGCGCCAGTAAAAAGCATTTTTCTTACACGTAACTTACCTTTGTTCAGTAAAGTTCTGTGGAAAATAGTAATTCAAAGATGTTGCACCAGTGCTACGTTTAAAAATAGACAGACACGCACAGACAGTTTTTTTCACTGCACTGGCTGGGGCGACACAAAATTAGCTGGAGGCGGCTGCCACGCAAATTTAAATGCAGGAAAAACCCTTCAGAGTTACCCCGGACAGAGAGGAAAGCTTTGCTTTGCAAAAAAACACCTCAGACAGATAATCACACAGACTTCAGACGATACACAACATAAGTGTCCACTAGGTGGGGAGGTAGGGTTGGGACTCTCCTCACTTCAGGGCATGCAGCCGCAAGAGCAGCGCTC